AACGGGCTGCAAACAGGCTGGGGCCAGGGACCAAACCACAGCCTGTCCCCGTGTGCCAGGACACTGCCCCGCAGGACACGGCCCGGGGTCGCGGCTGCCCTGGGCTTCTCTGAGTGAATGGATCAGCTCTCTGATAGCCTGGGAGGAGGCACAGGTCCACTGCAGTGCTCAAGTGCACTGACATCTCACAGCCATGATAATCCTTCAGTGAAATAAGAAGAAAAAGAACCCGTGAAAGCCCCATCTGTGAGTCAGGGGACTGCGCCCAGGAAGAGATTACAAATAGCAGGAGATAATACAGTTAATGCTGCCTGTGGCTTAAGGGAGCTTTGTGTGCAGTGTCTGGGTGGACTGATGCTTTGTCGTGACCTCGAGTCACCAGCCTTAGGACATTTTAAAAGTTGCATTTTCAGAGCCATTGTTACTTTTCTGCATTTTACCATGCTTTGCAATGCTCTGCTGATTTTGAAGTGTGAGTTACCACCTCTGGAGAGATAATCCCTCAAGGCAGAGGCAGTATCTAATACCCAAAATGTATTGGCTACTAAAAAGCCTTCAGTCATAAAACTGTGACAATAGGGCCTCTTCATGTGTAGGAGTTGAGCCAGTGTTCAGCTCCCCAGGGTCAGACAAAACCTCAGCAATTGCTATTCTTTATAAACAATTGCCATTTGTGTGCAGTTTTAACGAGCCATCTGGGCCTGCCTTATGAGCACAGAACAGATCCTGGGTTTGGTGCCAACCTTAAGGGTGCCCCGAGCAGGGCTGGGGCAGTTCAGACAGACATACCTGGGACGTGGCAGCCTGCAGTGAAGAAAAAACTCAAAATGCCTACAAAAACAAAGAATCAGGAGGAAATTATGCCTGGCTTGACAGTAAAGTTAAAGGAAAAATAAAGGTCCAGGAAAAAAAATCGCAATTGACAATCTGAATAAGGAGGGTTTTCTGTGAGTGGATTCTGCTCTTACCTGGGGGAAGGCCAGTTACATGTCTTGCTGATGGGCACTCCTAGTGACCTTGAGTCACTTACCCAAGGCTTTCTGTCTTGTCTGTGAATGAATGGATGTTACTATGGATATATATGGATATTACTATTTCACAAGGTGCATGGAGAAAGAATGCACACAAAAATTAGGGTTGGTTGAGTTCTGTGGTAGACAAGCCATAGGTTCAGGTACCTGGGAGTTTTCATAATGGTCTAGTAGGTCACAGTGATTGCCTGTGCCACTGGCATTGTCCTGCATGCTCCACATTCATGTTGCAAATCATTTCATTCTGTTTTCTGCAGAGAAAATCTTCATCCGTGTGATTGATCCCTTCACTATAAAGCCCCTGGATAAGAAGACAATACTTGAAAGTGCAAGAGCAACCAAGGGCAGAATCATCACTGTTGAGGACCACTACCATGAAGGTGAGCAGGGTCCAGGAGGTTACAGCTGTCAGGGACTGGAAGCTCCCAGCAGAGGAGTAGGGGACCTGATGCTGTTGTTCCATTAAAGCCAAAGAGAGATTTCAGCCTTTTTTGTTGCTGTTAGGATTATCAAGTGACACTGAGGGTTGAAAGTTTCCTCAGATGCAGTGGTTTAATCAGGGCTGCCTTTCTGATGCCCTTCTGTGCTTGGTCCAAGTGAAGTCTGGATTCGTTTGTGCCCAGTGAAATTGTAAATTCCTGTTGTGCTGCAGGGGCTCTGCACAGGAGTGTTCTCTGAGTGGCTGTACAGCAGCTGCTCTGCAGGTGTGAAATTGCAGGAGAGACCATTGCTGTGCAAACTTCTTAAGTATTCCCTGTGTCCAAAAGCTTGGCTCCATGTTGCCTGAAATCAGAAGTTTTTGGCAGTTTCTGCAGTCCCTCTGGGATAAATTCCTCCCTCTTTCTTCTCTGCTGTTGTAGATATCTACTACTAGAAATTAGTAGATATAATTATGATAATATTGCTTACCCTACTTTAAGGTGAGCATCACTCTTGCCAGGTACCTGAAGTGAGCTAGATCTACCATAAGTGCTGGATACAGCATACTTTTGTTCCAGACTCTGGATGGTGATAGGTCACTGAACCTCATAATTTTCAAGCTTAGTGTTCAACTCTGGACAAGTATTATACTGCAGATTTGCAAGATGGCAAATCATGACACTGTGAGGTGCTGAACAGGCTATTTAAGCTCTCTGGAGCAGGCAGGGCAGGGCAGGGCAGCTGTACGAGCATCAGAACCCTGAGTGTGTTGCAGGCCCCATCAGGCTGATCTTACCAGCTGCCCTGCAGAAGTGCCCCTGGCTGCAGGCTCAGTTCGACTGGTTACATCCCACCATGCCCAAGCTGTGGGAAGGCCTCCCAGATACACCCTGACTGAAGGGCAGCACCAAGGTGTCTCTCCTACCAGGTCCCAGAGCACGTGCTTTAGACACAAGTCACATGTTTTCTTCTTCCCTAGTACTCTTGCTTCCAGGGTCTCTCCTGCCTCCACGCAGTTCCCGTTGCATCCTTTGTCCCTGTCAGTGATAGTGACTCAGTGTGAGCTGAGCTCCCAGCAAAGGTTGCAAGTGTGTTACATAACCAGAGAGGTGCCCAGTGGCACGTACAGCACTGGGGAGAGATGGAGCTCTGAAATGCTGCTGAGATTGGTTGGAATTTCAGCACGTTAAGTACACTCCTAAATACTCTTCAGTCTAAATGTATTTTTAAACCTATCCCTCGGTGGCTGCTGCCGAGGTGCTGAGAGCTTGCTGACAGTCCTGTGCCCTTGAGAGGCAGGTGTGTCTGGCTGCTGATTGGGAAGTACTTCAGAAATGTCAGGCTGCCTGTCCTCGAAATGCCTTTGATACAGGGAAAGGTTTTCATTTCACACTTGGCCAACTCAGATACACGTGATTGGTGTTTTCATAAGCCTGGGGACCGAGGCTGTACCTTGCAGGGCCCTTTGCTCAGGCACACACAGAGCTGTGTGTTCCCTGCTCGGATGCTCCCGCTCTAGGCTGTGTTTGCCCTCTCTCCGCAGGTGGCATCGGCGAGGCCGTGAGTGCCGCGGTGGTGGGCGAGCCCGGCGTCACCGTGAGCCGCCTGGCCGTGTCCCAGGTGCCCCGCAGCGGGAAGTCAGCGGAGCTCCTGAGGATGTTTGGCATCGACAAGGATGCCATCATGCAGGCTGTGAGGGCGGCCGTGTCCAAGTCCAGGAACGCCGAGTAGATCGAAGCATCTCGTGCTGTGTTACGGAAGAGCTTGTTCGGAGAGGTGCTGTCAGTACAAGGCAGGCAAAGGTGCTTTATGTAGAGAGTTCTAATAAAAATACCAGCTTAAAAAACCTCCTGGGCTTTCATCCCTTTTTTTCTCTGTGGGGTTTGGTGTGGTGGGGTAACAGCTGAGTGTTTTCAGTCCCTCCTCTCTGTGCTGCCCCCCAGCCATTTAAAGCCAAAGGCAAGGAGGAAGTACCTGATGTGCTGGGAAAGTGGGGACGAGGGCCGGCATAGCACTGGGAATGAGCAGTGAGCCCTGGGCTCAGGGAGGACATGCTGAATGGTGGTGCAGTGAGCACAAGCTCATGAAGGAGGTTGAAACTTTTCATAGGAACTTGTATTTTTGAGTGCTTGGCCAGTGCTGCAGCAAGGGTGACGCTGAGAAGGACTAAAGGAGGATCTGGAAGAAGGGCAGGAAATTCCCAGGTACCCAAGAGGAAGCAGCTGAACGTGTAAGTTGCTTTTTTTCTATCAAATTGACTTTTCTCAGGTGAGCTGCTCTAAGCTGGCTGAGCATTTCATTTTGCATAGTAGGATGCACTGGGTCATTTTTTAAATTTTTTGCTGTTTTTAAATGTTTTGCTTGTTTTACCCTTAAGTTTCTGTTAAAAAAAAATTTAAAAATTCATTGTTGTGACTGCAGAGTACCCAGTTAAAAACATTTAGTACTGAAATATGTTTCTCATCCTGACTGTTCCACAAATTGCCTTTCAGAAAGATGTTACACAGCAGAGAACACTAAAAAAGCCTTTTTCATCAGAGCAGGGTAACTGTAGTTCTCAGTTCACCCAAAAGTCATTTGCCATTGACAAGGCTACACTGGTCTGAGCAAGGCTGTATTTGCAGACTAACACAAAATATACAGTATTTTAGGATGACACAATATTTCTGCAAAGACATGGAAATAGTACACGTAAATGAGAATATAAGTATTATGAAATAACTGGTATTCATCCTTCTTGCACAATTTAGCCCTGAGGTGTTGGGTGGGTGCTGTGCTGTGTTGGTGCAGGCCTGGGTGCAACTGTTGGTGTTTCTGGCAGTGCAGGTGGAACTGCAGGACCACATGATTGACACTGGTGCTTAAAATTAAGCACAACCAAAAAGGAATCTAATTTTCTGAGCAAGGCTTGAAATTGTTTGTCTAAACCTCTGGGCTGTTTGGGTTAATGGTTTTCAGATCCACATTTCCTTACAATCCCATGTTTTATGGCTTTTTCTGTTCAACTTGTTGCCTTCATCATTCTATGGGTATGAAGACCTTACATTTTTACTAAAAATTTAAAGGTACACTTTTTGTTGCAGTCTGCCTATGATTGCATTAGCCCTACCATCTATAATTTGTAATATGGCCCTATAAAATGAAAGGGATGCCAGAGTTCCACTTTATTCTACTCAAACACTGGGGGATGAGTCAAATCAAGCACTTTATTTTTTCCCCTCAGGAGAAGAGATGAAATTTGCTGTTGTTAATAATCTCATTACTGCACCATTATGTCAGTGCATGTAACATCTCCCCAGCTCTCCCCAGGTCCAATCCTTGCCCGCCCACTGCTCCGAGTTCTGCCACAGTTAATCTGCCTCAGCTCTGCTGCACTGCTGGGGCTCAGCTGGGAGAGCAGCACCACGGCTGCCTGCTCTGGGCATCACAGGGAGGGAGGAGGAGGTGCCTCTGGGGCTGCCAGGATTCCTACTGAAACATCCAGAGCCTCATCCAGAACCAGCACAGGACATTTTGTTGATTTTGATGCACCACAGGCAGAATCACGTGGAGAATGTGTTCATATTTAATGGAATTAAGGCAATCACGGTCTAGATGTTGGTTTGTGTTTGAGCTTTGCTGAGCCACAAACCCCTTCAGAAGCAAGAATGGGCCCTGTACCCCCATTTCAGGTTTATTTTTGAGGGGAAGGAGTGATGTCTTTCAGTGGTTTGACATTTCAATATTTCACATTGGCCATTCAGTTTTTAGGTTCACCTCATAAAGCAGTTCTTCTAGTACTGAGAATTCAGACAGCACGGTTTGTGGAACTCTCCTGAAACGTTCCTCCTAGGCAGCTTTCCTCACACCTGTGTCATGAAGAAAAAGACAGCTGTCAGGACTGCTTTTTTCAAATTGTCCTGTATCCATGCAGCTTTCCAGCATTCTTCATGCTTTGTGTCCATGAATATGGATAAACGTGAGCCAGGAGTCTGTTTGAAGACCCGACATGCAAAAACTCCCCCCACTCCCTGAGTTTTATTTGAGCTATAGAATTCTTATGCAGACACTGCCAGGAGTAGTTAATACCCCATACGGGGGTATTAAAAATGTGAAAATGCTCTGCCACAGGGAAAGAGTCAAGAATAATCCATTTTCAAACCCAAGCAGCTGTAATGAACTGTAGTAAAATATTTCTTTTTTTTTTTAACTAAAGAAATAAGATTGGAAATTGTAATTTAGAGAACTTGATCTTAATACTTGACCAAACCAAAGTACCCAGGAAGGTCTAGGGAAGACACACACACATTGTCAGTAAAAAGAGCACTGTTACCTCTTGGCCTGAATTTGTCAAACAGAGGAATAAAGCTGTCAAGGACGCTCCGAATCCGATACACTGGTTGTGAAAACAAACACATTTACATAAAACATAAAAAAACCAGGAAAATGGCAAAACCCAAATACTGACACTTGTTTAAACAAGCACTTCTGCGATACCATTAATAACAAAATAGTGACCAGACTGATTCCTGAGAGAACCACCCCCAGCCCAGTGAAATGGTGGCACCAGGTTACAGAGGATGTTAAAAGTTCCTGGCTGGGGAGCCCAAACTGGCTGCTGTTTGCACCTCTCCTCTGCCATCCCTAGGGATTGCTAAATGCTTATTTTTTTAGTATTCCCAGTAGCTGCTGCCATCCAGGTTCTGCTGGGAGCTGTCCTCAGTCCCAGGGGAATGGATGGCAGGCGGAGTGAGCAGAGTGAGCAGAGCATCTTATCGGGTGGATCTGGGAAGACTCGGTCTTGCTGCTAAAATTACCCGTTGTCATGGCAACACAGCATTCGGCCATTGCTGCTGAAAGAGGTGACTCAGGGTCTTGTGAGCATTGAGAAGGAAAAATGAGTCAACCTCTGCCTTCAGGGGCACCAAGGCTGCTCCTCTGCAGTCCCACTGTAACTGTGGAGGGGATGTTGGGGGACAGTTCTGCAGGGAGTTATGGAATCTCAACCCCACAGCCCCGAGTGGTGACTGTATGACCTTGTCCTAAGTGCAGGGACAGAGCTGCTGCTGTAGGGACACTTACCTAGACCAAAGTATATCCCAGTGGTTTCCAGGGAAGCAAAGGTGATTAAACCAATTCCAAGAGAAATAGTCCAATCTAAGGCAAAAAAATAAATGTTGGCTTTGTTCATTTTCCCAGAGTTCAACAATTTATCCTTCTATTGAATCTTGCCTTACCTTGGTGGTAGTAGTAGCAAACTAGTAAAGCTCCAATTGCAAAGCAAAGAATGACAAAATGAAAGAATTCATCTGAAATTGAGAAGGAAGATTAAGTCACAACTGTATCCAAGGCCATCTGGAAAGCACCTTCAAGTCCAGGCTATCACTGAGGGAATAGTCTTGTGCACTAGGACCAGCTGCACAATGGACCTGCACACAAGGTGCTGGGAGAAGCCTTGATGATTTTCATCAAGAAGTCTTGATGCACTTCAGCAAAGTACTCATGTCAGGAAAATAAAGGTTTTTTGAACCAGAGATCTTATTTGTGGACTGGACTAAGGTTCAACAGGTTAGTCATCAGTTCAATTAAAAAAAAAAAATTAAAAAAATTACCATCCTTCCGTATGCCCATCCACCGAACTGCCCACTGAGTGTGGGGAGTGCTCTGGTTCTCATATGCTGCAAAAAAAGAAATGTCTTTCATTGCCATGGAACTCAGAAATTAAGGAGTTTGAAGTTTATTTCCCTTTTTGTATCTGAAATAGATTCTCAAAGCAGAATATGTGTAAAACTGTTCAGATAAAAGATCTGTGAGCCTTTCAGAAAGATCAAATTAGCAATTTTAAAATCACCTCAAAGAGCAAGTTTTTTTAAAAAAATTTAAAAACAAAAGTGTAACCAGATGGCTGCATTAACAATACTGAATTGTTTTAAAGCACTCTGGGTCTCTTCTGTCTCTTCTGGGACAATCCATAGTCTCAGAATTACAGTGGGGGAATAAAGCTGTAGTACAAGGGAGCCTCAGTTTGATTCCTGGGTGCTTTGCACAACCACAGCTACAAGAATACAAGATAAACTTCTGTTTGCTTGTACTTACCATCTGCAATTGAATCTTCTCTTCTGGTAATCTCTGAAAAGCAATATAGTTATGTTATTTGTGATGGTAAAAATACCAATTAATACCAATAATACACAGTTGCTAAAACTGAAACTAAACCCAGGCAGAGCTGGGATCACGAGCTGCAAGTGTGTGTGACCTGAACCTGCCCAGCACAGCAGACACAGTGTCCTGCACTAGACAAACATTTTCAGTTTGGGGTATTGAACTAATCTAGAACTGAAGCAACAAAGGCTGGAGCAAGTGGTAGAGAGGCCAAACACCAACTGGAAAAGTACTGGGACCCTCTTTCTGCACTTGGCAATGTGGGGAGAATATGGCACTGCAACCTATTCTCTGCCCTGGTGTTTTGTGGAGCTCCTTGGGGACAGGTAAAAACCTCCTCAAGGGGTTATGCTGCAATTTATATCTTCTCTACTGCACAGAAGAGAAGGTTAAGCAGGTGTCCCCTCAAAAAGGCCACTCCACTGGGCTGTCACTCCTAACTCATGCATGTGGCCTCAGCCTGGATGCAGGAGGAGTGGGGTCAGTAATGCAATTAAGCCATGAAGACTTCCTGCTCTGGGCTTTTTACATCCATTCTGCTGCTGCACAGCAGTGCCTGGTAAGAGGAAATCTGCCTTCCCACTGGCTGATGTAGCCCATGTAACCCTCTCATCTGGCACTGTTCTGTTGCTTGTCATCTGGCATTCACCTGGCACCTCCTGCTGGGAATGCTCTGAGCTAAGGCAGGAGCTTTCTGCAACAGAATGTCTGCACCATGCCCAGGTCTAACTGGACAGCAAGGGATTTACAGCCAGGGGTTATTTTTTAGTGTATCAGCAGGTCAGTAAGAACATCCTTCCAGCAGGAGGGGGTTACCTGGGAACGCTTACCTGAATCTCTGTAGGGAACCATCTCTGCTGGTGTGCCTAAAACATGATGCAAAGATGATATAGGTTAATACCTGCAGTGAGTGTGGTGTCTGGTGCCAACCTGCCTGAAATCAGTGCAGGTGTGTAACGGTGACAAAGTAGAGACCAACTCTTAATTCCTTAGAGAGGGCAGCTCTACTGCAGGTTATAGAGTTTGAAAGTGGGTAACAGGACTGGATTATTACCCCCCCACATTCCATCTCTCAAGTCAGACAGAATCAGACTCCTGTGAGACAAATTAGATCTCCTAATGTCAATTTAAATGAGCTGCTCTTACATCTGGGCTGAGCTCAGTTTAAGACATTAGTTAAAATATTAAAGCCTTACATTTTTTACATCCATAGTTCTATAGCTATTTCTGTGTATTGACACAACTCATTTTCTTTATCTGCACTGTCCTTCTTTTCCATCTTCCCTTTGGAAGGGAGGGAAAAGCCTCAGGAATGAGGTGGTCCTCGATGATAATCTTGTTCAACTCTAAGCACAAGACATGGCTGAGTGTCAGTATCAGTTCAGCTTCATCTTGTAGGAAATGTCCTTCCAACAGCCAAATTCTGCCTTGTCATGCTCCTATGTCTACACCTGTTAATATAGTTTTGTTTAACAGTCAGATCAAAGAATGCATAAAATTATCCTTTTTTAGTTTATGTTGGTTGTCTCCAGTAAAAGCCAATACTGTTGCCACTTTGTCCTACCTCCGAGTAATTGGCCTTCAGTCTTCTGTCTTCCTAAATCTTCCTCATCACTGTCTGGGTAGAGAAGGTGTTTCTTCATCAGATTAAAGAAGAATGTGCCAGAAGTATCAGAAACAACAGCACTGTAGTTGTTTGCTCATAATATAATCATGTGAAGGTAAAAATCAAAGCTTTCAAATGCAAGGATTGCTATTGGTTGCTTTTGCCTCACAACTCTCTTCAAAGCTGGCTGAATAGCTGAAACCCAACAAAATCTGAATAACTTGAATAAAGGGGTGTAGTGAGAAAGTTCTTATTTAAAAAACATACATCAGCAGCACTGCTAATTAGCTTGAAAAAATTATTTCTAAATACAACATATTTGAAGTTAATCAGCTTTCTGTAACAGAGTAAGCCAATATCAGCATTACCACTTCCATGTTGCCTGTCACTTCATCTCTCTTGTTTTCCATGAATGAAATGGTCTTTGGTGGCAGCCAAAGTGACTCTTGACACACAGTTGATGTTTGCAAGTAAGAAATGCTAGAGAAGTACCACAGCACTGCCAGCTACTGCCATACACTGACTATTCTTCCCCTCCTGCTATAGCTCAGGCTTCAGTCACACCATAAGCAATAGGAGGTCACAGATCTTTTATTTGGGAAGGAACCCTGCAGTAGATTTCTATGCTTCTGAAACCTCCAGCTTCCCACAGGAGTGGGAGGCAGCCACTGTTTTGCTGATGTAAAGGTACTGATGATTTTCTGTGTTCTCTTTTTTGCACCATTTCCTACTTTTTTCAGAGCTCTGCAGAATTGCCTCTGAATTGCTGCACATCTGCTATGTCAATCTCTTATGAACATGCAATCAGACTAAGTTATTTATCAGGGAAAATAAAATAAATCCTCTTTACCTTGTGTATCTTCATCCATGGATTCATGGGATGAATTTTCAGCCTTTTGTTCCTCCTGTGAAAGTACAAGATTCTTTTCCAGTCTCTTCAGGAGTTTCAACTTTTCATCTGTTTTATATATAAAGAAAAAAACATTATCAATGACTACATTTTCTCTCTTTTTCAGCAACAGATTTCACCATGCTTTATTAAGGTTCCCTGACAGGAAATCAGACCCTTAGTCTTACTTCAGCTGTATTTTTGCACACAATGAGTCATACAAAGCATTACAAATAAAGCATCGTACACGCTACAGCTTAGACTTTCTTAAATGGTTGTGGTAGATGCCTAAAGTTTCATATTCTGGCCTTTAATTTACTCATAATGTCACCCCTGTGCAAATTCCCACTCCCTGAAACAACAGCAGCTGCAGCTGAACGATGCTTTAGCTGGAGAAGAGTGGCTCACCCTTCCCTGGGCTACCTGTGCCGTCACCCCGGTGGCTGCTGCGGGCTCCCTGTGCCGATGCCGCGGTTCCAGCTCCCTCTCGTGGCACAGGAGCACATCCCTCAAAGCCGGATCACCAGGGCAGGCACCTGCAGGGCGCTGAGGCGGCCCAGGCACTTTAGTGCAGGTGAATCCTTACAGCCTCACGTCCAGCTCAGGGCTGAGGGCCGGGGGTCTGAGCAGTGCTCCATTATTAGGGGCAGTATTTGGGCACAGAAAGGTAGATGTGATTCCTTCCCCCTGGCTGCTCAGGCTCTCACTGCACAAGGGCAGGAGGGTCCTCCTGTGACAAACAGTCCTGCCCTGACAGATGACCAATGCTGGGCTGTGCTCCGGGGTGGGAGGTCTTTCCCCTTCGGGAACATGTTTGATCAAGGTAGAAAAAGGAACAGGATGTCCTTAAGGATCTCCAGTTAAATTCAAGGTCATCTTAAGTGAGTGCAGCTCTGTCATCTATTAAAGACAATTAATGACTTTATGGACCCTGTGGAACTGCCCTTAGTTTCTTACTAGGCAAATAAGAAATGCAGTGGAATCTATTTGTATCCTGCTGCTAGATTCAGCATCCTGAGTGCCATCCTCTAGCCATTCCTTTTAGTTTTACTACATGTAAACTATTAGTAAAAATATTTTTAGTGGCTCAGCTCTGATTTCTTACCACTGTAAGAGTTCAGAGGGGTCCTGGGTGTCATCAGTCCAGCCAGATGGGAACACTGGGGCACCATGGCAAGTCAGAAATTTCTCTGGCAGCATCATCCCAGGACATCCTCTCCCTAAACACACAGGGTTTTTTCCCCCAGAAGAAGCCAATTCAAGCTACAGTAAAATACTGTCTTTGGCTCCCATTACCACCATACATAACTGCCTTTCCTAAGCAGTACTTGTAGACATTTCAGTTGGTCACTAACAATCACTTCCAAGCACATATCAGAGTTTTCAAGCTGCTGTCAAGTGCCACTGGCACTGCAGTAACAAAATAGCTGACAGGCAGACAGGGAGGACTCACCCTTTCCCTTGGAGCTGGGCAGCTGTCTGTATCCAGATGGATTGGATGCCTTCAGCAAGAGGTAAAGAACAGCCATTGCCCTGACTCCTTTCTCCTCTATGGCTTTCAGGCAGGCAGCACAGCCCCCAGGCAGGACATTGCAGCTGTTGAGGAGCTGAAACAAAAGTAAGTCCTTCCAATAACACACAACCTGGAAAAACCACACCCTGATGTACAAGTGAATGTATCTCATCCTGTCTGTGGAAATGTAACCCCCTGCCCCTATCATACAAGTGGGAAATCAGGGGCAAAGAGTAAAGCCAAAGATGGAAAGAGAATGTATACTCAGAGTAGAGCTGTCAACTGGGAACAAAAAGCATGATGGGCAATATTTAACTATTTAAAGAGCTGGAGAAATACAGCTACAGGGTCTGAAAATGGACATGCAATCTTGCAGTGCCTTACAGCAAAATGTCACTAACAGTGGTCCTGCCTAGAAAATAGTGAGCTGAACTGATCCTGAGGAATTTATACAAAGCCAGTTATTTTGTACATGGAGAGCAACGAAGTAAAAAATAGTGCCCTGAATCTCATTTATCTAAATGCCCTTTTAAACCTTTTAGCATATTTTAGCATATCAGATGACTGGACTACAAATTTTCTCTCCCCAGAGTATAGTAGGAAAGTACAAAAGTATATAACAAGGATACATGTTCTTTTAGTAACTTACATTGTTCTTTTCTTCAGTATTCAGGATAGGTGGGTCAGTGGTGGCTAAACATTTTACAAGTGATTCCCAAAAGGACTGGTTCGTTTTCTCGTGATTCTCCAAGTAATTGGCATCAGCAGTAAAAACCCCCTGGAACATGTCTGGGAGAAAAAACAAGCCTATGACTGTGCAGCAGCAGAGGTGGGCTGCATGGCAGTGTTTCTGTGGTGCTCAGTGTAGGTGTGGTGACAGACACCAGGCTCTAACATATTGCCCAACACCAGAACACAGGAAAGAAAGTAGTGCTTTATTGTATAAAGGGTCTTGGTCTGCCAGAAAACAGTAGGAGAATATCCATACAAATAACTGATGTCCCTATGATGCCACTGTCTCAGAGAAACAGGGCATGTGTTTCCAAAGTATTCCTAGCTATTTAATGGGTGCTTATTCTGACCATGCTATTTTACAGACAGGCACAAAGACCCCAAAGGCTGGATACCAGGGTACTGGGATTGCTCATTAGGCATTTGATGTGCAGCAAAGTCTCCTTCGTGCACCTAAATTCCCACTATCACATGCCCAAGGTCTGACAGAAGTGTGTGGAAGAGCTGGGAACTGATTGCTGATCTCTCTTTCACAAGCGAGGGCATGGATGGAGTGTTTTCAGAGGAACCAGATTTCACTGACTCACAACCACCCTGGCAAACACTGCTGTGGAGTGTGAATGAGCTGAAACTTTGATATTTGTGTGCTCCCCTTACCTTGCTGCTCTTCAGTAAGATCTGAGACCAGGACATTCAAGTTCTCCATTGCTGTGCCTGTTCAAAAGGGGAGAAAAAGCATATTAGAATCACATCACTGACCTTCTCTGGTTTTCTGTCTTATGTTCGATTTTCTGCAAACATGGCATGTATCTCTGGCCCTTCAGCTATTAAATCACTTCCCTGTTGCAATGGGAGTTTCACATCATGATTCATTTACCCTCCTGGGACCCAATTCTCGATTCCTCTGAGTGAGTCCTGCTGGGCTGGCCTTTGGTTATTAGGAAAGAACAAAAGTTTGATCATCGTGAGTAAAACAAAAAGAAGTTGGAGTTGATCATTCACATTGTTGTTTTTTACAGCTACCAAGGTGTCTAATTAACTATTTACCACAGATGTGAGTAACTTAATAGGTCCTGTTCCATTCACAAAACAGAATGATTATTTTGTATCTTTGACATCTTAATACTTCAAATATATTGACCAGGGAGAATAGTTCATAGGAAAGTCCCACAAGACTTTGAATTTTTGTCTCACAGAAGACTTTGATGCTTCAACATCTGTTCTTCCCAACAAGGAAATTTCCATTACCTTCAGCTTTATGCCTACTGGGGTCCAGGTATCCCACACTGATGCTTCTCCCCTCATGTAACATTTCAACTAATTCACTATTGTACTGAGATGCAGAAGATGATGCTCAGGGAGCCTGAAGCACAGTTTCTATTATGTAGGGTGCAACAGGAAAGCAGTTTATACATCCACACTTTTTCTTAAAATATGATTTTTGTATCCATTCAACAAAACATTTCAATCAAGTAGTTTAAAAACTAAGTATTTCTTTCAAATATTCCAGAGGGAAACCTGTTTTTTTTCCTACAGGCACTTTCACTTCTCTAGAGACCACCACATCAGTCGAAAAAATATTCTAATACAAAACCCCAGACAGGTCAGTTAATATCTTCAGAAGGACAGTGTAACACACAATCAAACATTCAAACAGAACAGCTTTTTAGGGTGCCAATTCTCAGAGGAAATTAGATAACAAACAGACCCCAAAGTAGCTGTAAAACCCATCTCTCCTTTGGGACCAAGGTCAAGATCTCACATTTTCAGTATGTTGGTAATTCTGGGGGCTTTCTCCTTTCCTAGCCTGCAAGTGCTCTTCAAGTGATGAGGTCCTTAGTTTGAAACTCCTTTCAGCCACTGCTTAGGCTCTGAGAAAATTACATAAACTCTTTAACCACTTCTAAAGGCTGAGCCCAAAAAACTGCTTACCTGCCTCTGAGGTGTATTGTGAAGAAACACTTTGAAATTATTTCCAATGATGAGTCCATGCAAAAGCTCTACAATGGCAGATCATCCCTTTGCCTGACTTACATCCAGCCTTTGCTGCTGTGGCTGTGGCAGCAGCACTGTGAGCCTGTGAGCACCTGATAGGGAATGCAGGAAATGCATTTGTCCCCCTGCCAGGTCAGCAACCGCTGATGTTGAAATGCAGGAACCCAGCACACCACGCCCCAGCCAGACTCGTTCTTGGCTGCACAACGAAGAGCGTCACTTCTGTGCAGTTATGTATCTCCACCTATGGTTTCTGCCTTTTTCAGTTTCTTTCTTGCCTTCCTATTTGCTCAGCTTAAACCTTGCAACAGTGCTTGCTTGTTTAAGTTAAATCCTTTAGGCCTCTTTCTGGACCGCAGGGTTGAAATACCAGACCTAAAGGAAGAAAAGTACTTACAATATAAACACTTCTTCTCTGACTGATGAATTCCACTTCATAAAATAATTTACAAATATCCACAGCTTTTATTGCTGGGTGAAATTCAGGAGGTTTGTCTTTGGGGTTCCTAATACCTGGTGAAGGCCACTTTCATTGGCACATTTGAGCCATGTTGCTCTTTCTGTGACATGAACACAGAAGGTGCAGCAGCTGCCCTGTGCCAGCTTTGTGTCATCCCTAAGACAAAATGAGCAGGTGGGCACTACCTGACCTGTCCCACCACACTCAAGAGCAGATTGAACATTGAGGGCAGAGCAGACACTTCACCCTCATGTGCTGTCAGAGTGATTTACCTTAAAACTTCCCCTTTGCTGGCCCAAATGACTGGAATTTCCAGGAACAGAAACACCTTTGCCTAATGCACTTATGCATCCTGCCATGGTAAGGCCTGGATGCCACAGGAGGATTCAGGAGCAGCCAGCATCTGCTCCCATCTCCCTTTCTGTGCCTCCAGCACAGCTCAGCCCAGTCAGTCACCAAGATTTACGTAACAAAGGAAGTTGGGCACCTAATTTCTCTTAGACTATGCACAGTTAATTTCCCTGTGGCTCTTCTGGAAAGAAAATCAGATCTAAACAAAGGATAAGTATAGGTGCTTAGTTATTGTATATTTTAAAAGTGATTTAGTTGATTATACCTCATAATGACAAAAGGATGATAATATACTGACAGTTCACCCTGGCCATGAGCTCATTGGAGAATGACACAAACAACAGACCTCACCTTGCTTTCCCCACAGTAAATCAGAACTTAATTGCAGTGAGGTCTTCTTAGCAAGTTAGAATAAAATTTGTGTGCAGAGTCAGATTTAGAAAGTGAGGCTAATAACTGGCATACACAAAAACTTTTTGCTTAGCTGCTGAAATATATCTGAAGGAAATTGCTCAATGGGATTAAAAAAATGTAAATAAAGTAAAATAAGGTTGTTTTGATTTCAAGACAAAAACAAGACAATCCTAAACCTTTCCCCTTTGAAACTACTTTTACCTTTCATTTTAAGTTATATGCAGATACTGAATATTGCTAAATTTTATTTCAAACCTAAACGTTAAGTCCCTCCCTGCCTTTCTCTAAAACCAAACCAAACCAAACCAACTTCTTAAAGCACACCTGAAAGTCTTAGGTCACAGCAGCTGCTTCCACACGAAGATGTCCTGGAGGGCTGTGGTGAAAGCTGTTTCTATCAGTGAGACAACAAAAACTTATCCACGCTGGCTCGGTTTGAAACCATTCCTGCTCCAGTCTCCTCAGGCTGTGACACCAGTGAGGTAATTCTGCTACCCCTCTGCTTGCCTTCCTGCTGCCAAATATAGCTGAAATGTGACACAGAAGTAGCAAAACTCAAAAGACTTCATTCTTTACAGTGTCCTTGAACACAGGCATGTGGAGAGACCCAGCATGTCCCCGCAGGGAGGGGGGAGAAGGGAGCAGGCGCAACCCACCCACTCCTTGCCACAGCTCCATCACTTCCTTCCTCTCCTGGCTTTCACAGCAAGCCCAGACATGGTGGCTGCACTGCTGCCAGCCTCACACCTGGAAACCCAGAGCAGTTTGCTCACTGCCTGTTTTCCAGCTCTGCTGGGAATGGCAGTGCTCCCATAAGCATTTACATACAACATTCGAAATTACCTGGTTTGTATTTCTCCTTTAGCACTGTGCGCTTCTCTGTGGTCACTGCAAAGTTCTGAAGGAAAGAAAATGAGCTCATCAGAAGCCAGAGGAGCTTGTAGTCTTAAGTTAAGGCAAAAAACTCTTCCTTCCTTAACTTAAGGCAAAAAAAAGTTAAGTTAAGGCAAAAAACTCTTCCTCTCATTCAGTGTAGGGCTTGCCATGAGGATTTCAGAGAAAAAAAATATTTATAAGATGAGGAAGCTGAGTCAAGAAGTCGCAGAGGTTACAGGGAAGTCCCGTGGCTCACCCCCCCAGCACCAGAACCCTTGTACAGTGGTTTGATGCCTCGGACAGCAACCAACAACCCAACTGTGTACCAAAAGCAAGGACACAACCCTGAAACACCTCGAGCTTGACCCCAAGAAGCTCCTAAACCCCTCCCAAGCACTCACCTGCAAGGCTGTGCAGTGGTTCAGGATCCCAGGGGCAGAGATCCCAGTGCCAGCCCTGGCTTGTGGTGGCGGGTGGGCGGGAAGGCGTCGGGGCTGGTGCTGGGGCCTCCCGTGGCCACCCCTGACTCCCGGGGTGAGCAGGGGCAGCTCCGCAGCGTCCTCTGGCCACTGCCAGTTCCACTCATGGTGTGTTCTCATGTCCCTGAGCTCTGGGGAAGGCACCAAGGCCCAATCCCACCAGGGGAGAGGAGCTGGGCAGCTCCCAGCCTGCTTCAGGTACCAATGGGCTCAGCTGCCCTGACTAGTCAGCACCCCTCACCCCTGCCCATGGCTGCTCCAGCACAGCCCGTTTGAGCTGGAGGGCCAGGCATGCTTGTTTGGCTTCTCTAGGACATGAGGAGGACACTGGAGATGCAGGGATCCCACTCTGAGGAGAAAGGCCCTGGGCTCCCATAAAGCTGAGCAGTGGCACCATGACAGGGGTTCAGAAGCCCAGGCATGTTGCCCTCCTGCCCAGGGCATCCCCAGGCTCAGGGAGGAAGGTACACGTGGAATGTCTGACAGGGAAGGGAAACATGCCCTCTCTCCCACCTCCAGCAGCCAAAGAGAGGGTGCTGAAAACACAAAGCCTCTGTTTGGCTCTACTCATCCCATACCCACAGTAAGCTCATCAGTGCTCCCCTCCCAGCCCTTCTCGGTCACCTCTAACTCACATCACTCCTTCAGCACCATTTTCACTAGAGCCACCCCAGGGCTGTTTAGAGGAGCTGCTCCTTCACTGGCACATGGTTTCTGACCCAGCCAACCTTCAGCAGAAGGCCACAAGAGCAGCAGAGGAGCAGAGCCCCCTGGTGCACATGAGCCAAAACAGGCAGCACGATGCTGGTCACCCGAAAATGTGTGTGAGGAGCAACAGCAGCGTCACAGGAAAGTCCCAGGCACAGGATTCCAACAGCACAGTGCCTATTGATTACACAAGGTGTGGCCGTGTTAAGTCATTTGTCACATTAAGGTAACGGTTTCACCCTGGTGCAGTTGGTGCCCCAGGAGGGGTGTGTGGGGCAGGCTGTACACCCTCCCTCTGCCCTCCTCCCTTCTTCATCTACTGATGCTTCTGGAGAGCCTGGGACCCAGGTAAAGTCAGTCATACTTCCTGTAGTATGCATGCATAGATTTTTCTTTACCAGTTTGTTGGGGGTTTTGTTGGGGTTTTTTATATTTTTTTAGAGGAAGGATTGGGTTTTGGGGTTAAGTCGTTTCACTAGTTTTCTACAAGTGCCTGTTCAAGTGCCTTGTCTCACCTACCCTGCCATATTTAATTACATTTAACACTTAAAAAAGCTAATACTCTGCACCTGCTTCTGCTGGGAAGAATATTATCTCATGAATTATAATGTTTTATCATGTATTACATGTGTTTATTTGGCCCTTATTTGGGAACTGTCCTCTGAGAGAGTTAGCAGAATGGTGATTTATTCTTTGTATGCTGGGAAAATTGCTTCCAGGAGGGGTTTAGAGAGGTGAGACACATGCAGAGCAGCTCTTAGCTTGACACTAATTGGGTACAGCATGTGTGTGGATTTGTCACATGGGCAGGTTGCATGAGAAATGTAGAAATACTTCTAAGTGAGTGTAGGAGAGGCCCAGGGATGGTACATAGAGCAGTAATTGCTCCTTTAGTCATCACATTTCTGACAGATTAAAACATTCCCAAGACATCTCTTGCCCTACCCTTTTATCCAATGGGTTGGTTACATTAGTCCCTTCTGTGCACTTACTTAGTCCCTACTTATTTTCCTTTAAATAAAGTCTGCTTCAACAATTGTTGTGAGACTACAGAGCACAAGTAACTGAGGGGGGATTATGCCTCACAGTCAGCTGCATTTTGCAGGCTACAGCTAATTTACAGCTACCTTTTAATTTTTAAACTCTGAAACTTTTGAGAAGGAAAAAGCAAGAAGCAGTAAGTACAACCCCTTCCCTCACTTTCCAGACCATCACCCAACTAGTAACACCCTGAACACCCTGTTATGCTGAGATCATGAGAAGGCAGCTGTTTACCTCTGGCAGAGAGAAAGCCTGAGGTTTAGCCATGAAAGCCTTTGCAGAACCATATGGGAGAGTGGAACATAACATTGCCCCTTACTTAGATCTTCTGGAATTTTTTTTCTCATTCTGTACTCTTCTGTGGAATTACTTGCCATAATAAATAATTCACTATATTGGTATTTCAAATTAACACAGTAAAATTTTAGCTAAAGCCTGTTAAATTTAAGAACTAGGCCTGTCTGAACAGGCTAAATCAACAGAAACTGTAGGCCAGGATATATCACTCACTCCCTGGATGGTTACTGACCTCCTCAGGTTCTGCTGTCAACCAGTCCTGAGGCTAAAGAATGAGTGATCCCAGTACTGAGACAAGCACAAGATCCCCTCCTGAACAGCTGTGGGTAATGACGGTAATGTTCCCTCATTAGGGGAGCTCCCCTTTGTTATGGGTCGGCTCACAAATTGCTCTGTGGGCTGAGGCTCTGCAGGAGGGAGGGGGTTGTCCAGCCTCTGGGGCAGTGGTTGCTGCTCCTTCTAATTTAGCTAAAATGGCAGTTTTCCAGTTAAAGGGCAGCTGCTGAAACCCAGGGCCATCAGTGGGATGGATAGTGTGGCCCCAACACAAAGCATAAGTCCATAAAGGGCAGGTAATATTTAGTCCCACAGTACCTTAACAATATTCCTGAACCTCATGCTAATGACTGAGTTTCATAGGTAGACCAAGACCAACCCAGCCTTTCTCCTCTCCCTCAATACCATTTTCTCCTGTCCCACCACCTGCCTCAGCACTTTCCAGCTGTGGCACCTCACTCTGTGAGGACGCCTTTCCCACAGCAGAGCCAGGGCTCTGGCCTTCTTGTACTCCTTGGAGGAGCAAAAACAAAGGCTGAAAACTAATCCCAGTTGTGCACTTGCTACAACCTGAGCCAGGGTGCAGGAAATACAGGCAGAAGTGGGGAACTGTGAGGTGCACCCAGCTGCTGGCCTGGCTGAGCCAAGTGCTGCAGCAAGCACAAGGATCAAGACCTCTGAGGACAATCTCCCCAAAGGACTGCTTCTAGGAGCAACCTGCAAAAAAACCTGCTCAAAATCAGGACCTCTCCTCTTCCTTGTTCTCCCAGTTCCCTGGGGTCCCCTCACATCTCCATTTTTTCTGGTCTAGCAATAGGGCTGGAAGTGCCTTGTGGAGGCAGAGCCACAGGCAGGGGAGCACACATGCTTCCTGGGAAGTAAAAGGAGCAGGAGGGACAATTCCCTGCTTCAGCTGATCCTCTTGATAAAGCTCCTTTCCTCAGCCCTTCTAAGCACACAGGCAACGCCAAGGATTTCGATATTTAATCCTGACATTTTGTGGAATGGGTTTGGTCCTAGAACCCATTTTGTAACCCTGTCGGCAAGGCAAGGCAGGCTGAGACCTGTCCTCACACTGCTTTCTCACCGATGTGCCTGCTGGGAGATGGCAAGGCCAGGAAGCAGAAAAGCTTCGGGGTAGTGAAGCACATGTGGGGTTACCTGTTGGCACAGCAGGGCTGGGGCTGGGCCAGCAGCTCCGTGCTGCACCGACAAACCTGTCTGGAACATCCCCCAGCCAAGGCAAACCTCGAACCTGCCACAGGTGTGACTGAAGCCGACAAGACTCCAAGTCTGATCTATCCATTGTTTCCCCAGGATGTTATTGTCAAACTTTTGCTTCAGGATATACCCAGTGAGAATCCTCCCCTTCCCAAAAAGAGGGTTCTGTCAACTACTGGCTTCGTGTTTCTGTGATACAAAGTGAAAATGCACGGGCTGTGTCAGACTGCACAGGGAGTGATGGGGAAGGTGAGCTGACACCCTAAAGCTAAATATGCTCTAGGACCAAGTCCCAGGTCCTCAGGCTCTGCAGAGCTCAGAGCAGCACTGCTGGCAGCTTCTGGAAACTGGACACAGAAATCTCAGTGAATCTGGAGACCTCCCATACCCTGTGACCTCCCCAGCTCACTGACCTGGGGATCAGCAGCAATCCCAGGCAGGCAAGGCCAATCTTCTCTTTGGGAGACAACTACTCGAGTGACTCCCACTGCTGTCAGTGCCTTAGTACCAGGATGCAAGCAGACACCATCTTCTGGGATCTTTAAAATTCAGCTTTGTCAAGTTATTAGGGTCAAAGTGCAGCTCTCCCTCAACACAGCTGTGTCCTAACACATTCTGCTCTCGAGATCATCTCAGCTCACTGAATATCAGCTTCAATCACCTGCAACATAAACGGGATGAAGGTACATTTGACTTTAAAGTCGTTTCTTAAAATCAAGACTCTGCTCTTAGTAAGCACAGAGAGAGCCCAAAGGTTATTTATTAGAACTATTTAAGTCTGATCCAATCCATTCATCTCAAAATATGTGCTTTGGAACGGAGACTACAACCTTGGAGGGTTATGCAAAGCTTGAATTCAAGCTCTATCTCCCTCTTCTGCTGACACCACAAAAATGGTGATGCCAACCTCGTCTCCTGCCCGAGATCAAAATGCTACTGATCATTCCCGAATCTTGGAACCTCAAATGGGGACTGCCCAACTGTTCCAGTCGCTCCATGAGCGACAGTGAGCACAAGCCCCCTATTTGCCATCTGAGTGAGAAACTTTCTCAAGTTACAGATTGGCTCAGGCTCTGTAGGTCCATTCTGGCACCTTTGTAAGGGGCTTCAAACTGCTTCCTCTGCAGTTCAGGCTCTGGGAAAAGGTCTCAGATACCACCAAAATGTCTCAGATACCAATAATCAGAGCTGTGGGGGTGCCCAAGCACCCGTCTCTCTCAGGACATGCTCTGAGCACACAGAGCATGTTGCCATCTCCTGCTACATTAAGTGTGAGGTGGGGATAACAACAGCACTAACACGACACATAAATCAGTCTTCTAAATTAGAATACACAAATCCACTCCAGAAAAGTTTAATGTGGGTTCCTGGGGCATCATATTCTGAAAAAAAAAAAAAACACCAAAATACAGTACAAAGAAAAAAAGGCAAACAGAATTCCCCAGTCCTTAAAATAATGAAATATAATCAGAGCTACATCTATTTACAGGGCTGCACATCACAGCAGCTGCTAGAAAAAGCAGTGTCACAACCTGAGGACCAGAAGGCTTCTCCACCTCCCAGAGATGGCCTGGCAAAAGCAGCACCCAAACCAGAAAGCCTAGTCTTGCAGAGCTCTAGGGAACTACTAAGACTTCCTCAAAGGAAAAGGGCAGAACTCAGTACCACAGTGAGCTGCCCAGCATTCCAGCTGGGAGATGAACCAGACAGGCTGATCCCAGAGTGCTGAAGCTCCATGAGAGCACAGGTCCTGGGAGAAGTGGTACCTTCTATCAGATCCCTGTTCCAAAACCGTTTGGCCACACCAACTGTATGGCAAAACCTACTCCTTTGAGAAATCCTGGGGTCAGAGGAAAAAGAGAGAACCATTACAACAGCCTGTCAGGAGACCAAGGAGGGATCCAAGGGAGACACAGCACACTACGAGCTGGGAACAGGAACAAACAATGGATCTAACAAGGTCTACCCAGAACAGCCACAGTCCCAGGGATGTCTGTGGTAGCCATTCACTCTTTGGGTGAAGAATCTTAATCATTTCCATGGGCCTTGTGCACTAAAAGCAGCTAAGCCTCCCTGATGTGCAGCCCAACCTGAATGTAACCACTGAGAGAGCTGGGGAAAAGGCTGGAGGAGCACTTATTCAAACAATGGAAAACACAGAGATTCCTACAGAGAAAAAAACTGTGAGCTTGGAGGAGAACCTATATTGAGGAGCAACCAGCTGATGTCAGACAACCTCAAAAATATAAAGAACATTAAGTTACCCAGGTGCTCAGTAAACACTGCAAACATGACCATCATGAAAAAACTAAGATTTCAGTTGGAGAATAATATACCAAGACATTTAAAGCCCACTGGGAAGCAATAAAACCTTTACTGTAGATACCAACTCCATGGACTTCCCAACAAATGCTAAATATGAGCAGTGAGTGTGCAGATCTAGATGCCCACTGGAAAACTGAGATAAAGAAAGGAGTGGTGGGAAGGGCTGAGAGACTTTCTTCTCCTTGCCACTCGCCTCCCAGAGATGAGGATAAGCACCTCTTCCCAGGTGCTGGCAAGGGGCTCTCTCCTGTGGTATGTGCACTGTGCACCATGCCAGGTGAGCCTCCTGTCCCCACATTGCCCTGGCGTGTGCACGTGAAGGCTGAGACATCCTCCAGACCACTGGGATCACCAGATTTCTGCTGTGACCCCCAAAGGAGCACAAAGCACCTCAGAGGCTGGTCAGGTACTTCCCGGAGCTGACAACAGCCAGGCCCGCGGCCTCTGTGGCACAGCCCCCACGTGTGGGGAGGAACCGTGGCCAGACCCCATGGATCGAGCAGATGGAGGGGCAGGCTCTGGACATCCAGGATGGTGGCAGGGAGCCGGGCATCCCTTGGCCCGGCCCCAGGCAGGCAGGCAGGCAGAGAGCAGGCAGGGCAGGAGCACAGCGGTTTATTGGCAACACGAGTAGAAAGGCGGCGGCGTGGCGGCCGGGCCGAGCGGGGTGGGGGGCGGCGGTGCCGCGGCGGGGGGCGGGGCCGCCCCGGGCCTAATGTTCAGCGTTCCCCCTTGGTGACCTATGGGAAGAGGAAAGGCCTCAGCAAGGGCCGGCCGCCAGGCCCGAACCGCCCCCCCCCCCCCCGCCGGCCGCCCCGCTGCTTCACCGGGCTTCGATGTACTCGATCCTGCGCTTCAGCCGCCGTCAGCTTCTCACTTCAGGGTGGCCAGCCGGGACCGGCACGACATGTTGCGGGGAGGCGGCTAGTGAGACACCGCGGGCCCCCGCCCGCCCCGGCCCGCCCGCAGCCGCCCGCCGCTCGCGCCTGCGCCCTCACGCGAAGGAGTTGAGGGAAGTCCGCGATCTTCTTGATGGACCTGGTTGATCACCTTTGGCGATGTACTCGCGTTGGCCAGGTCTGGAGTGATCTCCCGCTGCAGCCGGGTCCTCCTGCAGCCGACATGGCGCCGCCGCCGCCGCGCCTGCGCGGGGCCCTGGCCTGCCGCCCGACGCCCGCGCCTCAGGCCCGCCGGCCCGGCCCCCGCCGCGCCCCGCGCTGCCTTCCGTGTCCGGTGTCCGTCCGTGTCCCGTGCGCGCTGCGCTCGCTTCCTGCGGACCACACCGCCGGGCTCAGAGCCCGCGCTGCACCCCCTGCTCGCCCCCGCCTGCGCTGCCAGGCGGCCCCTGAAGTACCTCCTCAGTGGGTCCCGCCGCAGAGTCCTCCGAGCCCTCGTCCGAGTACCGCTCCTCGGAGGGCTGAGTCAAGATTTCTTCTCCCTGAGTTGAAAGCAGAAGACCTGCACTGAGCGTATGAGGGGCAGCCTCTGTTCCTTCCCCCGGGGTGGGAAGGAAGTAATAGGCATTTTGTTGCCTTCTTAAATAAAAAGCTTTCAAGTAAAAAAAAAAAAAAAAGAGGTTTTGTTTAACTATCTTGCTTCTACAGTGAAAGATGAAGGCAAGAGCCAAGATTGGGTTCTGTTAAAACCACACACGAGAGTGTGTGAAGGTGTTCAAGTGACCTTTATCTCCCCCATACCAATTCATTACAGACAATCAAATCTGACCCCTCAGTGTGAGACCCTCCCAGCAAAGCAGCCCCAGAGATGCAGGTCTTAATCTTGAAATAAAATGTTTCTTTCTGCTGCGCTAGACATGATTGTACTACAGTCACACTGAATTTGGCCTTTTAGCTCTGTCCTTACACAAAGGCAGAGTTACAGTTGTCTGGGAAAGATGAGCACTGTCCTTTCCCAGATTGTGATTGCCCCGGGCAGGGCAGTAATTCTCACCTGGAGATCCCGATTTTTGAGGATGCCGACCCAGAAGGCCTCCTGGCAGTGGTTGAATGCCAGCATTGCCTTCACTCGGTACACAAATTGTTCCAGTGACTTCTTCAACAAAGGGACATGGTTGGTCAGTCCAATATCTTGGTGAATCTATGAAACAGTAAAACACAACTATGATTGATTCTTGCCTAAGTGCTCTGGCTGTTTAAAATCCATTGGTTATCAGGTGGGAAGGATGGGACATGATCCCCACAAAAGGGATCCATGCCTGGATTGTGTCACTTCTTGGCCAAATTATGGCTATTGTTAAAAAATAAAGCTCTGATCAGTGTTTGTGTAAGGCTGCAAAATGATCCCTTGCAGCAATCCAAATTAAAACAGAAGGAGCCTCAGCTTTTGTCATGAATTCTAGAGAAGAGGCTAGTATCTCTCCTCTGCTGAATTCCCAAGCTCAGAGGAATAAAAATGGAAAAGGTACTGAGTATACCACTTCAATCACATCTTTTCTTGCTCAGTGCCTCATGCAATCCCTTTATCCCAGCTACATGGAATGTGTGCACACTATAATCTACAAAGCCAGTTTCTCCAGATCAAAGAAGCTGGGCTTTTGGAGAACTAGGACAGGAAGGAACAGATGGAGTTGGTGTGAGAAAAAACCATGAGAGGAAGGGCAGTTATGCCAGGTATTGTGTGAGATTCAGCTCCAAGTGAGCACCTCCTCCCGACAGGCTTCGATCTGCAGTTCAGAACAGTCATTGCTAAAACAGAAAACCTGCCAACCTGACAAAACCTGCAATTATTTTGTGCACAAGTCTTTTCCTCTTTCATGAGAATACTTTGTAACCTTCTGGCATTAAGATGCTCTCATTAGCTATATTCTGAATTCAGGTCATCTGCATTTCTTGGAAGATTTCAACATGTCTGGGCACTGCTTTGCTTCGAGTTCTGCCAACAGGGAATGAGTAACTGATTTCCAACAGCAAGCTGTTCTCTAGCCTGTGTAACAGGCAGGACCTAGCAATCACCAGCACTAATCAGAACCAAATCAGCAAACCCTTGCTAAAGACACAATCAACACTCACAGTGCTCTCTGAGTCCTGGAACCTGCCCAACTGTCTGCAGGCAGTCTGGAGACTTAAAGTACCACAGCATTGGCAAAAATCTGCCTCCAGAAACTGTCCTTATGTCCAGCATAAGATATGTAAACAGAAGAGAGGCTTGGTGTGAAAGAGGAAATGACGAATACTTAGGAAATGACAGGTGAAGCTGATTGCTATTGTGTGATGCTCCTTAAAGATACATGTTCTGAGGGAGAGTAACAAGGTCACACTGCATGATACCTCAGTGAGCATCTGCTAGGTCTGTATGAAAGGGAAATCAAGGTTCCTCTGACAAATGTTGGCATGAACTCAGCTTGAAATGGGTATGGAGCATTCACGGCATACATTTACTTGACCATATTCAGCTTCTCCCTTCTCATTCTTGCAAAATGATTTGGCACAGAGACCTGTTCAGACTGCAGCAGGTACAAGAGCAGTGGCAGAACATGGGTGTTCACTAATGACAGCTCTGTGCTAACAGGGACCATGGGACATGGCACTTGAAAATGCTGCCCAAGCGCAAAGACAAACATGACATGGCAACCTGCAGTGCTGTTATCCTGCCTCCAAGGTGAATTGTGACTTCAGAGCAGGCATGAGGATTTCACTTTCAAATGCAAGGACATTTTAGCATCTTCAGGGTTTGTGCCAGCTCTCTTCTTGTGAGAGCTGCAATGGCATGTTCTGATCTCAAACTAAATTTCTATGCTCCTGATGGCAGCTCTGGACTAAATTGGTAGCAAATCTGGCTGAAGAGCCAGTCTGGTAGCTGGCTTTCTCCCTTCAACTACTTTGGCAAAGCTCCCTTCTCAGATGTGTTCTTGAACCTCTTAGGAGTCTGACAGGAACAAAGCAGCACACATGGAGTTCTTTCCAACTGCCTTCTCCCATGTGTTTCTGTGTTGCAATAAGCACCATCTCTTCACACTGTAAGCAGTGTTAATCCTCTCCTTCCTTCCTGTCCCAAGTCTCCTAAAGAGACTGGCAGACTGTGTGTTACCACCTTCCTCTCCTCCCTTTGCCCTCTTCCCTGGTATCAACATAATATCATAAAAGACACCTCAAGAGGACTTTGAGCATCATTTTTCCCTGTCTGCCACCTTTGCTGATTCTTCTGACTCACAAGGCTGTTGATCTTTGGCAAAGCTTCTCTCCCATATTATCAGTCTGGCATCTATACTTTGTGTAAGGTCTGTCTCTAAGGTCTTAGCTTGAGTCCTCAGAAACACCCCTTTACAGATGCCAACAACCAAAGATGTCCAGAACCTCTGTCCCTAAAAATGATAACCTGATCTGAAATCCAAGTTAGCCACTTCCAGAACAAATGCTTCAACTTTTGGGCCATTAATCAAGGCTGTTTCACCTTCTCTCAGAGTTTTTGCTTATACAGACACTGCTGGAAGCATGCAGGTAGAACCTGTCTATGCCCTGGAAGAGCAGTGGAAGGGAAAGAAACCATTATTAGGACAGGAGTTCGTGCTGCAATTGGAACTTATCTTACCTTGGAATGGCCACACATGTGATGAAGTTGTCTGGTACTCAGCTGCAAGGTTTTCAGCAAACTCTGCACATCATCCTGCAATAAATAAGTAGACCAGCAAATCATTCTCGAAGAATTTTTCCATAAGGGAAACAAGAATATTGAAACAGCATTAGTCCTAGCAATCCTTTCCAAGGGTTATGGGACAGAGGTATGATGTGTGTGTGCAGGAAACATCAGACAAACAGGATCAGGCCACAGGAGACTTGCACTGTGCATCTAAGTCAAGTAACTGGTAATAAAAGTCTGACCACATGTCATAAGGTCAAGCACTTTAAACTGAAACTCATTTTGAACTGAAGTTTGGAATGAATGCCTATCAGTGAAAGCTGAGGCAATTAAAATTAAGACAACTTGGTCACATCTTATCTTGGGTACAACTTCTAAATAGGGGAACCAGAGAAAACGTTTAAAGCATACTGCTGGGTTGTGCTATTTGAAACACATCCAACATGAACTCCAGATATCAAAACTCTGTATTGAGCAACCTGCCTGCTTACACGAGCTTCCTACTCTGAGAGTGACATCTCTGTGGTAATTACTTTTGAAGCAGATGGAGGCTGAAAGGACTTCATTTGCTAACAGTGGAGTCATTCGACCAGAGTGATGGCAAGTTGGGGAACAGTGGGGGAACAGTGTTTGCTGGGAGAGCACTGGACGGGCAAGTGAACAGGGCAGAGCACAGCTGGACACATTCAGACAAGTTTGTCATAAGGGTCACAAGTGTCCTGCCAACATGTGTCCAGAGACAGGAAGCTCCTTCTAGCAAGCATCAGTCATGCTTCCCAACTGGTTCCAGACAGTTCTGCTCCCACAAGGCTTACCCTGTGCTTTTTAAAGCTGTGGTCCAGGAGAGGCATGGCAAGCTTCAGAAAGGCTTCTACAAATTGACGGCCGTACTGTAAGAGAATGATAAATATACCAAAAGGTAAATTTAAACTCCTTTTCAAAGAACCATCCCAAAGTCAGATGAGATAATGATATATTCTTTCAAGATAACAATACATTCATTGCCAGAGGCTTAGTAAGACTACATCCATGTGAAGGTTGTACTGGA